TGCAAGGGGATGAAAGAGAATCGGCTCCCAAGAATATAAGCATCATGACAGCTGTGCAGGTAAAAATTCATGAATGAGGCTACCTTCTAAAAGGAAGCTGTAAAATCAACATACAGTGGGTCAGGAGAGATTTGCAAAGGCGTTTTAAAGAAATGGTGCTCTGAGTAAGTCGGAGGCCTCCTGAGAATGCCTTCAGGTCACTGTCAGAAGGGGTTATCAGCAGTGGAAGTTGGGAGAACAGCCTCCCTGGGAGGTGTGGCTTGAGGCAGCATTGGGCTGCACTGGCCGGATGCCATTCCCCGCGCGCCGCAGATCAGCTTACTAGTGGGATTGCCAAGCTTCGTGCGCAGCCCTAGGAAGGTAGAGAGGCAAGGAGGGAGGAGGGAGATTTGGTGGTAAGAGTGAGCTCAAGAAGGCAGCCTTTGTCTTCCAACCAGAGCTGCTGAGGCTCCAGACCATCTCTCTCCTGTGCCTCACGGTGGCTATTTGGTCCTTACTACTTCCTGTCCCCCTCCTGGCATCTCACAGGTATTCAGGCAGCTTGCATCCTGGGTTTTTGTTATCTTCGTTGCTGAGACCACTCTCACGCTCCGTGTGTCAGCAGCCACCGCTTGGACTTGCTCATGTGCCAGTGGGTTAGAAATGTGAGCAGCTGCCGAGGATCTGGTCCTGTGGCCTGGCCTGGGTGTGACGGCCGTGGTCCCCCAGGCTTTCGTGGATGTTGCGTCTGAGAAGACTGGAAGTTGGCCAGAGGCCTTATGGGGGTCCTGCAGGGACAGTCTCAAGGTGACAGCTGCACTCCGAGCGCGCCTGAACTGGAGAGGCACCTGCACCTCTGACATGGCTTTGGATAACATGCAGCATCTTCACACCTGCTGTGTTCTGCTGGTTCCAGGCCAGTCACCAGAGTCATGGCATTTGGTGGGGTCCTGCCTCTCTCGATGCAGGTGTCGAAGAACCTGGGGGATGGCCATAGCCACATCCCAGACGCCACTCCCTACCAATCCCCTGGTGGTTTCCCCAGCCTTCCCCATCTGTGCTGAAGAATAACTGACACTCCGCCTCTGGTTTTAAAATGTTTCGAATTTGTAATAATTTTATAGATACGTATTGGAGAGTGATAACATCCATAACAATCTAAAACAGATTTTTAGAAGTTACTATGAAATCTACAAAAGCAATAAAACATTTCATCCCAGGTGCTGAGCTGTGAGGAGAGTATCAGGGTTTGGGCTCTGCTGCCTTCTCCTCGAAGAACTCACTTGGGAAGCAGTCAGGTACGTGGCATCCTGGGCCTGGCTGACACTGCTTGTCTGGTACTGTTAGTTTCAGCAGCATTTCTTCTTTAGCGAGGCTGTTGGAAGATAAAAGGAAGGAGGAATGGGTCTTGTGGCTGGGAGGGGAGCTGCAAGTGATGCTGGGAATGCATCTTCCAGCTGGCCTGGGGCCCTGGTGGAGACTGAATATGAACGAGAGGCAGGTTTTGAGGGTAGACAATGAGGCCCATGAGAGAACTACTGAGTAGGCAGAAAGAAAGATGGGTCTGAAGTTCAGGAGAGAAGTGGGGATGGAGGCATGCATTCTGGAATCGTAGACAACAGCAGACATACTTGTTCAGCAGGGAGGAATACGAGGTGGTTCATCGCCTCGTCATCAGTCATTGACTTTTGCTTTTGGCTTAGGGCATCGCTTTTTCTCCACTGTCCCGCGGATGGTGGCTTTTTTACATTTTATATTTGGGGAAACTAAGATTCACAGTCAGGTTGCTGCTCAGTGAACCATTAAACATTATTGTGCATGGGCACTAATGTGGCATTTTAATTGTCATATATCTTTGAATATTTTCTTTTTCAGATTAGAAGATAATTCTGAACAAAATGCCAGCCACTCTTTAATTACAAAAATGATGGATGGGCTGTATCATCACATGCCTGAGAATCATTGTGTTTTAAAGGACTGGATCTTCCACGAGATGTAAGTTCCAGGACATCCTGACAACTGTTGAAACATTGATTCTGCAGATTAGCATAGCAAACTTAGACATTTTCTGTGTTTTAGATTTTATAAAGTAGTCTTAGAATCCCACTGTTACTACTCCAAGAGGAATTATGAGATCAGTTTTGACAATCTCTGTGCAAGCGTGGCACATCTGATGAGGCTGTGAATGTCACATTCTGTTTGCCACAATTCAGTGTATTTAATTAACACTTGCCGCATGTCATGGTTGTCCCTGCAGACCCACCAGTGATATGCAGCTAGCCCTGGCTCCCAGAAAGCCACAGCCTTGCAGGTACAGGAGAGTGAGGTATTGCAGGTGAGGATCACAAATGCCTGCTCCAAGTCTGGTTGTGCTTGCAGGTGGCCCCAGTTGCTCCCCTGAGCCTACACACCCCTTTCCTACCCCTTCTCTGCCCCAGGATTGTGCTGGAAGTGTTGTGCCCAGCATCGGCAAGCAGTGTCACCACGCAGCCCACAGGCTGTACCATTGCCTCGGAGCGTAGACACAGGCAGTGGGTGGAGAGGATGTTGCGGTCCCGCCTGCGGCAGAACTACCTGCGTATAAGGAGAGGTGTGCGTCACTTTCCTGTTTTGGAGGGGCAATGGGCAGGAAGTCGCCACAGATGCAGTTCCAGTCCTCACTGAAGACACAGTAGGCCCCTCAACACATCGACAGGTGTTGATATACTTGGAGTTCTACAACTGAGAGAGTGAACTCAACGTATCTGAGACAAGTCTCACATTTTTAGAAAATTTACTTTCCCAGGGTTAAGGACGTGCTGTGACAGCCTCAGGAGGTCCTGACAGCATGTGCCCCAGGTACTTGGGGCGCAGCTTGCTTTTATACATTTTTATACATTTTAAGGAGACATAAGACATCAGTCAGTAGGTGTAAGGTGTACATTGTTCCATCTGGAAAGGCAGAAAATAAAGGTGGGGCCTTCCAGGTTATAGGTGAGTAAGAGACAAAGGATTGCATTGTTTTGAGCTTTTCATAGGCCTTCGGTGAATACACAATTGACTTGTGAGTGGGGTAGAGGATAGTCACTACACCTTAGTGGCTCAGTGAAGCTGCATTTACACAGGGCAGAGGAAGCAATCATATAGGCATTGTCTCAGGTGAGCTGAGGGATGACGCTCCCTGTGCCACCCTGAAGACCAGCTGGCAACAGCATTGCCAGGGCGAAATTCAGCAGAAGTCTTTCCGGTAGAGCTCTTGAGGCCCATGAGACTTCTTGTGGACAAAACTGTGAGGGAGGTCTGTATGTAGCTTTTTTCTCTTGTAGCCACCTTATTTAGAATAAAATGAGGCAGGTTTGCTTGAGGCAGTTCCCAGCTTGACTTTTCCCTTTGGCTTAGTGAGTTTGGGGTACTGAGATTTATTTTCCTTGCACGGTAGAAACAAAAGTTAAGTTCCCACAGCATTTCTAGTCATGTTGCCAAACTTAAAGAAAAGACCCAAACACTTACAGTGTTAAACATTGAGGCACATATGAGCTCTATGGACATTTAAGAAAGATGAATAAAAACAAGTGAGAACTATCACTGTTTGGCAGGCAGAGTATTTGGCAGTCCAGCAGTCCTGTGGTGGTTAAATGAGGCAGCAATGCTTGCAGAGCGAGACCTCCCCAGGCCCGCCCCTTCCTCTCACCCACAGCTCCAGCAACAGCAGGAACAAACGTGTGGGTCACTGAGCACTTTTGTACCAGCACGCACTGTTGAGCACTTGTATGATGATGGTAGACTTTACAAGTTCTTATAATTGTATTCATTCATTCATTCATTCATTCATTCATTTTGTAACCTGCTTATTCCAGTTCAGAGTTGTGGGTGGCTGAGCCTATCCTGGCAGCTCTGGGTACAAGGTAAGTGACTCCACCCTGGACAGGACGTGGTTCTACGCCGCAGGGCCAGTCACACACCCACACTCACTGTGGGACCATGGAGATGCACCAGTCTACCTAATGTAAAATGGCTCTGGAATGTGGGAGGAAACTGGAGGACGGGAGAAAACCCATGCAGAACGTGTTTCTCCACACAGACCGCGGGCTCCCACGGGTATCGAGCTTTTCTCACTGATGTTGTGATGAAACAGTGTTGAATGAAATGATATTATCTGAGGACTGTTCCCATGCTGATTTTTTCATAGAAAGTTATAGTACATACTATTTTTAAATAAGGTTGTAATTTGGGCATATGGAAATGTGGGTTCTATCTACCTAAATGAATATTTGGATTTAAAGTATAACAGCAGATTAACTGGATTTGGATTTAAAATATAACAACAGATTAACTTAATAGCAGATTAACAGCATTATGGTTCCTTCATTTACAGTGTATATTTTAGAATATGTTACATCCTTAAGAAAATGACCATTTTGGATACATTTCCAGAACTTTTGGGTTGAGTGGTATCTGTGTTTTTAAAGCTTTAAATAGATATCACTGGATTCCCCTCCAGAAGGGTGCTACTCAATTTACACTCTCACCAGCAGTTTATAAGACAAGGTCATTCTCTTATTAACACTCTCCAAAACCAGAATATTTTTAAATGTCTCTTAACTAGTTTCATGGGAAAATAAGATCTTTTACTTTTAGTTGGGATTTTTAATCTGGTGGCATTACCTGCCAGAGTTGAGGCCATTTGTTTTCTCTGTGAGAGTCCTTCTCCCTAGATGTCAGAGGGCAGGGGGTTGCTATGCAGACTGGCCTGCCCCGTGCCCTGCGAGTGTGCAGAGACCTGGCAGCCCTGACATAGACCGGTCAGGATGTCTGAGAGTTCCCAGACGATGACTGATGAGCAAGGAATCTGGATGTGCAGAATGGGCCAGGAGCAAGTGGCTACACTGGCACTCCTGCCAGCCATGGGCCTGGGGGCCAAGCAGGCATTGTTCTTAGGATTAGAAAGACTATTTTTTGAGAAGTTGGGACTTAAGGATGTTGATGAGGTGAAACATCTTTTTCTGATGAAGGTGGAAAATACCAACGCTCTCACATTTGCATTTACTTTCATCTGTTTTTAGTATCAGACTACTGTCCCCTGTGCTCAGCCTGATTCTGTTCCTCATTACACTGGAGTTGGTCAATGTTCATGCTGTTTGTGGAAAGAATGCGCATGAGTATCAGCAGTACCTAAAGTGAGTATGTCCCACTTCTCTGTAGTCGCATTGCATCGTGGGCCAGATTGGGGCTGAGCCTGTAGGAGTGAGATTGGGGCAGTATGAGGGCCACCATCTCCTTGGTGGCCCCACCGCTGTCTCAGGCAAGGGTCTGACATGTGGCCTGCAAGAAGAACTCCCACATCCAAATGTCTCAAAACCACATTTTGTTTGTTTGTTTGTTTGTTTGTTTTTCGGAGACAGAGTCTTGTTCTGTTGCCCAGGCTGGAGTGCAGTGGCATAATCACGGCTCACTGCAGCATCGACCTCCCAGGCTCGGGTGATTCCCCCACCCCAGCCCCCTGAGTAGCTGGGAACACAGCCATGCCACTGTACCTAGCTAATTTTTGAAAGATTTTGTAGAGATGAAATCTCACTGTGTTGCCCTTCAGTGATCATCCCACCTTGGCCTCCCAAAGTGCTGGGATTAGAGGTGTAAAAGCCACGGTGCCCAGCCAAAAACCAAATTCGCGTACGTAACTAATAGTTTCAAATTCGGGAAGTCCACTTTTAAGACCATCCCGACCTGGGAGTCTGAAGTAGTGTGACACTTGTGTGACCCACTTTACATCCAGAGATTCCAAACCAAGGAGGCTTCCAGGCAGCGGTGACACAAGCTGCCATCTGGGCTTGAGTGCAGCTCCGGCTCCAGCCTCCCTTGGCTGCCAGGAAGTTCTGGATATCTTGTTGGTTTTAAGCCAAAGTTTTGCAGGTGCCAGGCACCTCAGTACACGTTTAGGTGAACGTGAAAATACACCTGGGGTGTCTTGTGGAAAGAAGCATAGACTCCTGCTGAGAGTGAGGGGAGCAAACGTGCAGACTGTTAGCAGCTGAGGACTCCAGCTCAGTGTGCCCCATGCTTGGCACTGCTGGCATTGTGGGGCTGGTGCAGGACTGCCCTGCTCATTGTAGGACGCTCAGTAGCAGCCCTGCCTCTACCCACAACATACCAATGGCACCCCTACCCTCCATATGACAGTCAAAAGTGCCCTAGACATTGCCAGATATCCCCTGGGGGACAAAATCACCCAGTAGAGAACCCTTGTCTAGACAAAGTGTTCCATGGCTTTTCATTATATTATCCTTTTAGCTTCTGTTTAGGTTTGAATATTTTCAAGATAAAGTGTTGGTGAAAACTACCTGGCAAACGTGGAAAAAGTAAAGATGACATTTATTGTCATCAGTCAGAGTGAGCCCGCTGTTAACATTTTGACAAATATCTTAAGTAAAATCTCTTTAACAGCAACAGCTGTCTCAGTGGCACTCAGGGCGCCTCCTCTGAGCCGGCCCCTCCATCATGGGGGATGGAAGCTGGATGTGTGAGGAGGGGGACGGCACGCTGCCCAAGAGGCTCCTGACAGGGCTAAAAGGCCTGCTTGTCATTGCAGCCGACCCCTGAACAACGCAGGTTTGCACTGCACAGGTCCACTTGTCCAGGGAGCTTTTTCAGTAAATACAGTTGGTCCTCTGTATCAGCAGGCTCTGCGTTCCATGCAAGCACAGATTGAAATTGCAGTGGTCTTGGTTGCAAACATCAATGTGGGAAAAAAAACAAAACACAAAAATCTCATGGTGAAACCCGCATGTTCAGGGAGCTGATTTTTCATGCTGGACTTGAGTATGCTTGGATTTTGATATCCAGTGGATGACTGTGTGTTGTGTGTTTATTTTTTGTTGTGTGTTTATTATGTGTTATGTGTCAGTTTGGTGCAGATGACCCTTAAGTTCCTTCCTGGAATGACGGCCGTCATGTCTGGGCTGGAGAAGAATGTCTGAAAAGGTGCTTGAGTTGGAGCCTCTCCAAGTGTCCAGTAGCATTTACATTTCAGTATTTTTCTCTTTCCTCTAATTTGCATTCTCTTATTTTTGTTTTATATGGATTTATTTTTCTTGAATCATCAGACATAAATTAAGTGCAGTTTAGGAATAATTCCAAGAATGAAGAGAAGACATTTAATTCATTATTTCATTTTATAATGGAATGGATAAAGAAATTAATTTTTTTATAGGTTTGTAAAGTCGATCTTGCAGTACACTGAGAACCTGGTGGCTTACACCCATTACGGAAAGAACAACTGGAATGAAACTATCAATCTTACACATACAACTTTGTTGAAAATTTGGACTTTTAGTGAGAAGAAACAAATGTTAATACGTTTAGCCAAGAAATCCACAAGTAAAGTACTCATGAAAACCTATAAGTGAGGATGTTTCTAATTTTAACAGATTTTAACAGCATGCAAATTGAAAACTCAAAGGTAAGGTGGAGTTGAGGGTCTACTTGACCAGGGGTCCAGGTTCCGTTTCTCTGCAGTGTTCTGATTTACCCTTTCCGAGTGGTCAATGTGAGTCTCAGTCTGGCTTCCTTTGTGGTAACCAAATGGCTGCCGTAGTTTTTGGTTCCATCTCTCCATAACACACTGTCCAGAGGAAGAAGGGAGAGCTGCTTTCACCCAACTGTTACTCAGAAATGTGTAGTTCCATTGTTACTGGCCACATGCCTACTCTTGAGAACGATTGCTGTGGCTGGGACCTTCCCCTGCATTCACGGGCCAGGTCTCGGGAGACGTTGACTCCTAGACCAGCCATCAGGGCAGGGAGGGTGAGGCCCTGGGACTGAGGAGAGGACCGATAAATTTAAGCTTCCCAGGTCAGTGCTGGAGACCAGCTCCTAAAAGGGGAGGTGGGCAGGCATGGGTGCTGGACAGCAGGCCTCCTGGGTTTGCCTGCATTTGGCAAAACTAGCAGATGCCCTTCCCTGTTTTTAGATGTGGCGGTTTCATATCCCAGGGTCTGGGAGAGCTGGGGGAAAGGAGATTAGGGAAGCTGCTATTCACAGACCCTGCTTGATGAACCCAAGTCTCTGACTCGAGGGTTCCTGCAGCCGCTGCAGCTCTCGAGGGTGCCTGAGAGCCCCCACTGTCTGAGTTGGCAGCTGCAAAGCCGGGGCTCTCTGGAAGCCTCTGGGCGGCCACCCTGACCTCGTGTCTGCTTGGGCATGGGCCACCCTGCCCCACCCTCCGTGAATCACTGCTTCTCTTTTTCCACCTTCCAAACCTTGACAGGGTGCAGCTGGCAGCCATGGAAGGACTGGCATTCTGAGGCTGCTTCAGCTGAGGAGACCTGGGGGCCATGGGTGGCAGCAGAGCTGAACACATGCTGTTTGTCCTCTGCCAGCTCAGCTCCGGCCCCTTGTAAACAACACCTCTGGGGAAGCGTGATGCTTCTGCCTAACGTGATACAACTCTCTCTTGTGCAACTGAAGATGGTTCTTCCTCTTCCCAAAAGTGGAGACACAAAGCACAAATCCCATGTGTCAGTATTCCCACTCTGGGACTGTTCTTTTATAGCGCCGTCACACCTTTCTCTGATACACTTGCATGTAGGGTGACTATAGGGTTGACCGTCCTGCTAATGGTGGTGCTGGGATGGGAAGAGGGAAAGAAAGAACTGACTGGTAGAGTTAGCTCGTAGATACCGGTGTATCTTACCAAAGCAGTGAGGAGACCACACAGAACTGCTGTGTGCCCTGTTTTTGCAACCTGATGATCTGGCAGAAGTTTGTGTTTGAAAATTCCTTTCTGCCACTGTTCCATGTTCCTTTCCTTTGCCTCTCTAGGTGGTGGTTTTTCACCTGCGGAGTTAACCCAGCCCTCATTCCTGAAAGGTCTTTCCCATTAGAAATCTTTCTTGTTTTGGGTAGCTATAGGTTTCCATTGACTTGTCCCTGGACTTAGGAATACTAAGAGGTTCCCTAGAAAATCCCGTAAATTCCAGACCCTCCTCCCAGCCCCTCAATCTGTGGTGGGAGCTATATTTCCCCAAGACAATTGAGAACAGTCCCCTCGCCATAGCAGTAAACTCTTCTGACTCATTGGCACAAAGCATCCAGTGCGGCTGGGTGGCAGCCTCCTCCTGCAGGGCAGTGGGCACCTCGTGTCCGTCTGTGGAAGCATCTGAGGAATGAAGACACCCAAACCAGCAGAGTCCAGAATTGTGGGCGGAGAATCCAAAACCTTGCTAGTGGTGCAGGGGCATAATGAGAGGGGCCATTCCCGCTCCGCGTGTGCCTCCACCCGTGATTTCTGGCCATGGGAGAACCCATACCACTTGTTGACTGATGGCTCGGAGTGCAGGGCATGTCTTGGGCAACCCAGGAGACCTCAAGGGGGGCCTTGTCACAGCCAGCACTGCCTGGTGCTTGGGAGGCTCCCCGAGGTAGTGGGGTGTGTGCCGGGATCACGATTGTCACAGGCCTCACTGCTGAGCTTGGCTGTCAGACGGGTCTCCTGGAAGCAGTACTGGAAGCAACCCGTGCAGCAGATGAGGCTTCTGTGAGCCAGGTGCAGTGGCCAAGAGGTGTCTCTGTCCCTCCCAGAACACATGGCCCGATGTACTTGGGGGCTGGCTCTTCTTTCCACTTGAGTTTTTCATACTAGGAATTGTGTTGGTGTCTCCCATTAGCAGATTTATACATTTAGCAGTGGACCTTAGCCAGACTAGCCTTGGAGTGAGGACGTCCATGTGGTTGAAGCCATTGACAACATCCTTCACTGCCTCCATGGCCACTTTGTTGATGAGAACATTGAGCAAGGCTGGGTGGCTGGAGAGAAAGGCTAACATGCATGAGGCAGCCATCGTGCCACCTGCCTACTGAGAGCATGGGCCCCCTCCCCTGCTGTTCTTTAGGGCCACTCAAATGAGTTAGAACGTTGCCAACTTTCACCTTCAAGTGGTGTCAACTGTCAGCATATTTTGCAGAAATCAAATCCAACTTTTAATTCGGGTGAGTGGTCCTAGGGAAGTCCCCGTGGGGCCAATAGGTGCATGGTGAGGGGTGCTATCCATGCAGCTGTGGGCTCGAAGAGTGTCGGAACCACTTGCTTGTATATCTTGTGTTCCAGAACATGCCAAAGCCTAACCTGTGTGTGTGTGCGTGTGCGTGCATATGCATGCATGCTTGTGTGTGTGTGTACACCTATATACCTATTAAATATATACATCTTGCCTGAATGTAATGAAGACATGCTCCTGCAGTTGACTCACCTGGTGATGTGACAGGTCAGAAAATGCAGTCTTTGGTGGTCCACTCAAGTTCCAGCTAACTGTCACTAGCTGTGCCATGGTGAAGTATAGATGTTCAGTGTCCATCAGGGCCTAGAGGACAAGCTGAGAGCTGGTTCTCAGAAGAGCAATTATGTGCAGAGGAGGGTGTGGTTTTGTCCCAGAACCCTAGGGGTCTGTGCTGTGGGCCTGTCTGTAACTCTGCCATACATCATGGGATCTAATTGCCACCGTGGCCTGATGGGGAGACCAGCTTTTACATCTACCTGCTCTGGAGGCTTTACTCTTTCTAGGCCTCATGTGGAACTGGCAGTTTGTAGGTTAGTTGGAAAGTGAGCAGAGTAGCGTGTGTGGCCTGGTGGATGTTGCTTGCAGAGCTCCAGAGAGACTCAGAGTGCCTGCCCGTCTCTAGTGCCGGTGGACGTGGGCACAGCACCCTGTCCTCCCCCTCACAGAGTTCATCCATACCTTCCTAGATCACGGGCCCCAGAAACTTCAAAGCAGCAGCCCTGTGCATTCTTAGGAGAGTTACATCCCAGCCCAGGCGGTCGTAATTTCACCAAAACAGTGGGGTGTCTTGTCTCCTGTCCACATCACTGATGTGATGGGCCATGGTGGCATCCTGTGGAATGGCAAGACAGCTGGCAGCCCTGAGCTCTAGGTTGCATGGAGGAAGTGGAGAGGTAGCACAGCCCTGATGCACGCCCACCAAGGCTGCTGCTGTCCCTGCCAGATGAGAATAAGACAGCTTCTGGACATGAGATTGCAGGAGACAAAACCTCAACCTATATCAGTAGGTACAGAGAAAAATATCTGCCAGATCAGTGGCTGCAGACCAGAGATCTGGGACTATCTTGATTTGTTCCAATAAAGAGACCACATCTGAAGTAGCAGATGCTCAGGCTCCTGGGCCGGGGTCTTATGTCCCTGGGAGGCTCTGCTGTCTTAAGCGGTGGCTCTGTTCCCTGCAGGTGCGTGGGCAGCCATGCTGCTGGGCTACCTCACTTTCCCTTGGTATTCTTTCCCCGGTTTCGCATCCTGTTTCTGATGCACACTTCCTTGGTCAGCTGCAGTATATGTCCATTCAGGTTAATCACATCGTATAAGGCTGCAATTTGTTGTTTTTCCTTAAACAGTGTTACATGTCTCTGCTCACAATTGAGGTACCTTAGAGTTTAACCCTTAAGAGGCAAATGTCCTCTGTTCTCACCTTCCTGAGGGATCCCGCCACATTGACCATCTTGCTAGCAGGGGTCACAGGTGTAACAAGAACGGATTTCTGCTGGCTGATGGTCCACAGTGTAGCGTGACTCGGGGAACCCAAGAACTCAACGGCAAAGCTGCTTCAAATTCTCCTGCATGCTTGTTCTTTTCTTTTTGCCCTTTTTTCTTCTTTCTTCCCCTTCCCTTCCTTCTTCCTCTCGTTCCTTCCTTCCTTTCTTCCTCTTCCTCTTTCTCTCTCTTTTTTCCTTTCTCTCCCATCACCTAGGCTGGTGTGCAGTGACACAATCATACCTCACTCCAGTCTCCAACTCGTGGGCTCCCATGCTTTTTCTTCCTTTCTCTCTCTCTTTCCCTTTTTTTTTTTTTTTTTTTTTTCTTTTTTGAGACAGAGTTTTGCTCTTGTTGCCCAGCTTAGAGTGCAGTGGTACGATCTTGGCTCACTGCAACCTCTGCCTCCTGGGTTCAAGCAATTCTCCTGCCTCAGTCTCCCGAGTAGCTGGGATTACAGGCATGTGCCATCACACCCAGCTAATTTTGTATTTTTAGTAGAAATGGCGTTTCACCATGTTGGTCAGGCCGGTCTTGAACTTCTACCTCAAGTGATCTACCCACTTTATCTTCCCAAAGTGCTGGGATTACATGTATGAGCCACTGTGCCTGGCCTTTATTTTCTATCTCTGCTGACTGGCTGAATATCTTGAGCAGACCAGAATTACTGGAGGCAAGGAAAAAATGGAAGATTAACTAAATTTGTTTTCCATCAAAAGCAATGATGAAAATGCTTCTTTTCAAAGAGCAACAGCAAATATTGGTCCAAATTCACAAGTGTTCATCCGACAGGCCATATTGGAGAGTAAAGGTAGTTGTGCGTGGTCCTGAGTGCACGGACATGGAATTTAGCTACAGGATGAA